ATGCCACTAATGCTGGTGCTCAGTAAATATCTTGCTAATAAATAGGAATCCTGTATCCCACTGTTAGGTTTGCCTGGTTTGTCCCTAGGCTGTCTGTAAAAGAGGGGCACAGAACAGGACAGTATCTAGATTTAGGAGAGAGGAGTTTTCTTATAGAGAAAGGGAAGAATGCCCTCATTGCATTTGATGACAACAGTGGTGATTTGCCCAGCTGTTGCTATAGCAGCTGGAAAGTGATAGGGCCAGTGGTGAAATTCCTCAAGACAGAAGAAAGGATGCCTGAATATCAGTCTAGAAAGGGAAACAGGTGTAGGGCTTTAGGAGCAGGCTGAGGAGAGCAGACACAGAGCTCCCAAGGAGAGAGAGGAATGAGATCTGGTCAGCCTATACCCTCTGCCACCAGTTCTCCAGCCCCACCACATTCTGGTGTGTGTCCACAGCCCTGGAAGTAATACAGCCAGTATGGGTCAGCATGCTTTGGGCCCAAAAGAAACCTAGCCCTGCGCTTACCTAGCCCAGCATTCTCTCCAAATTTAGAACTAGGAATTCTGAGGAAAACCGAGGACCAAAGTAAACTATGGCTGTGGAGTGCCAAACAGTGGTGATAGCAAATGGTGGCTGTGAAGAGCCAACTGAGCTGAGTCTTAGCCTCTCTCCCCAACATGAAGAGCTGGTACTGTATCAGAAGAGAGCAACAGCATGGTACAAGTCTAAATAACTGATAATGCTGTTGTTTGCACCTAGAGCATCACCCAGGGGTGTTGGGGGTTATACAAATCTCAGGATCCTTTCAGAGAGTATGAAAGATCCTACACTTATTCTACATTATCAGGGCAAGGAACAGTCATTTGATAAGAGGCAGAAAATTATCCTTCCTTGGGCTAAGGGATGGTAGATGTGAACGACTTCATGTATTCATACTTTAAACTCTAAAAAACAATTGGGGTGGGGTAGACAGTGAGGAGGGGGATTCTAGGAAAGCCATTTTGTTTTATGTGCTACCAGGGGTCCTCAAACTGCGGTGTGCCAAGGACATTTATCCGGCCTGCTGGGTGTTTTTGCAGCTGCTGCCTGTCCTGCTTAGCAGCCAACTCGTCCTGGGGCC